GGATTGCAAGAAAAGGAGGTGTTGGTGCCGGACATTGAGAGTACTCTATGGCATCAGGAAAGAGATCAATGAGGTTGGATGGGTGTGAGTGGAATTTATTGAGGGCTTTATTGGGGCAGGAGTGGAGGAGGAGGAGGAAGAGGCAGTCTGAATGATGCATTTGTCAAGAATATTTAAGAATAAATCAGGAAAAGATGGGAGGAAGTCACTTTGAGTGGTGACTGGGTACTGGGTTCTAAGAAAATCTGTATAAGGAGTTCCTGCAAAAATCTGCAAGAGGTGACTGGACCTGTTAAGAGGATGTGAAAACAGCACGGTGGGAAGAGTAAAGGCAAGAGAGGGACCCCAACAAATCAGCAGGGGATGTTTGAGGTGGCATGAAGAAGCAGCAGAAGCAGGATTGATGTCAGATGGAACTAGTTTGAGAGAAGGGCTTTGGGATAAGAAAGAGAGTTAGAGAGGAGATCCTGTAGAAAGAAACTAGTTTTGTCTCACTTATTACTGGAGAATGCAGCAGTTTGAGAATCAGGAGGGTGCTGAGTGAAAAAGGAGAGTGGCTTGGAAGGCAAGAAGCTGAACAGAATTCCCAGATAAGCGAGAGGCAGAAGCAGAGAGGTCCTTGGGTGTCCAGTGGGTTGGTTCTTTGGAAGAAAGGCTTGAATGTGGATAAGATAAAAGATTAGATCAGCCACTTGATGGAGAAAGGGCACCAGCATGTCTGGAAGGAAGAGAGATTTTGATCCCCAGAAGGTCTGGTTGCAAAGGCATGATTTGGACCTACTGTGAGGGGATTCTCTGAAGTTGGAGAAGAAGAGCACGTAGAGAAGCTGTAGAACATGATGGCAGGGAATTTTCTTCTGTGTGAAAAGCTAAAGTAGGTAGCAAAGAAAAACTAAAACAGTCCTGCAGAGCGAGCAAGTCATAGCCTTCCAGATAATGTTGGACTGTGGCTTCCATCAGCCCTCACCATTCCTTCTGCTGGAACTAGCAGTCCACTTGCACACCCATTCTTTAAAGATGAACAGTGTATCTTCAAGATATCTGGGGGCTCTGCTGTTTTGACTGCAACAGGCTAATGCTGTTCCTCCTTTGGAAATGGTTTCTGAAGCTAATTATCCAGAGAGAGAAAGGAAGAAGTGAAAAAGGAAAGAAATCAAGTACAAGAGAGGAGCTTTCCTCTCCATAGTGCTTGAGTAGGCAACTCTCAGAGGAAAGTTGTTGAGGAAAGGAGGGGAAAAACAATCACGGAATATTGTGGAGGAACTGGTGACAAAAGGGAAGTGGCAGAGGCACAAAGACTAGGAGGGTGCAGAAAAGCAGAGAAGGGGAGGCAGGTGAGGAACTGTTTGCGTACTGACTGTACTGTTAGAGTCAGGGGGAGCAAAAGCAAGATCAAGACCTACTAGGTCAAGGGTAGGCAACTTTTCCCCTTTAAGGGCCGAGGGACTTCAGCTCCCAGAAGCCTCAGCCATGTTGGCCAATAGTCCCATGTTGGCCAATAGCTCCTGGAATTCTGGGAGCTGAAGTCCCTCGGCCCTTAAAGGAGAAAGGTTACCTACCCCTGTACTAGGTGATACTCAATAGGTCACAAGGGTTTTTTAACTGTTTAATACAGAGGTAAGCAACCTTTCCCCTTTAAGGGCCAAGGGACTTCAGCTCCCAGGATCCCAGGAGCTATTGGCCAACATGGCTGAGGCTTCTGGGAGCTGAAGTCCCTTGGCCCTTAAAGGGGAAAGGTTGCCTACCCCTGGTTTAACAGTAGCATAAAATTAGTTTTATTCCCAGCTGAATTAAGCTGCTAAAATGCAAAAACCTTAGGGCAACCACAAGCAGACTCCTCTGTACAAAGACAGTGAGTTCACTCCTAGCACTGAAACCAAATTTCTAAACTTGCAGTGTGCTCAGAGGCACACTGTTGTTTAATTCTGAGCAGCAAAGGATTTTATAGTATTCACATTTTTCTCTATCTTTAATTTACTCAAAAATAAATGTGTGTGCCTCCAATCTCGATCAGAAGTACTATATGAGGGGGTATCATAAGTAATAATTATCACCCAGAAGTTATTATGGTATATTGATGAAATTTTGTCAGTGTCATCATTGGTCCTTAAGTGTATGATGTTGAGAAAATCAGATCTTTGTGTCCTTTATTTTGCTACAGGTTATGCCAGAAGTGACTAAAGTATAAG